GGGCTGGGAGGCATCGGGTGGGTGGCTCTGTGCCGTGCCAGGTGCAGGGTCTGCTAGCTGGGTGCTGGCAGGCTTGCACCTGGCACGGGCACCGTAGCCAGCCCGTGCCCCTTTAAGGGGTCCGGGGCCGGGAGGGGGGCAGACGAGCGTCCCTGGTGTTGGCCAGAGTAGCCACCAGGGAAACCTGGGGAGGGCTAGCCTCCCACTAGTTCGAATTAAGGGTCTACACACCCCTTAATTCGAACTAGCTAGTTCGAACTAGGCTTAATCCTCGTAAAATGAGGTTTTCCTAGTTCGAACTAAGCGCTCCGCTAGTTCGATTTAAATTCGAACTAGCTGAGCGCTAGTGTAGCGCCTATTAAAGTTAATTCGAACTAACGTCTGTTAGTTCGAATTAACTTTGTAGTGTAGACATACCCAGGGGGATTAACCTTCCCCCACTAAAACTAGGGGAATATTTTCCCATTCCCCAAACAACACAGTCACCCGTACTGATTAACGACAAGCGTTGCCTTCTACGTGATGGCTCCTCCCCCAGAGAACACAATATCATCCTTTTGGTGACCAAGCCATTCTTCTGGGTGGGTGAAGCAGGTACAAAATAAAACTCAATCAACAACTTGCTGTGGAAAGGGGGCTCTCGGTCCCTCCACCTTTAATGACAGAGCAGTGCAGGAAGGGTCCCTCCTGGTAACACTGGTGGAGGGTGAGCCTGTGCTCCTTCAGCTAACACAATAACATTTTACCAGCTCTTGAATTAGTCTGTCGGCCACCTTCTGGCGCTGGCCAGACCCGTTCAGATGGGTTTCTCTCTCAGCCTTGTTCCTCTCTTCCTGCAAAGCAGCTGCACCTGCTTCAGCTGGGCCCTCGGGAAGGTCTTCAGCACCCCGGATCCTGCCCATGTGCTGCAGTTTCCCAAACAGGTCCCTGCAGCTATCCTTCTCCCCCTGGCTCAGGAGAGCCACGTTTAGTCCAAAGCGCTTTGTCCCACAAAGGCCCTGTAGTATCTGAAGGACAGCGGCTCTGTCTGCCCCGCAGATGTGCTCGGCCAGCACCACCAGAAATTCACCCAGGAGGCCAAAGCCAACCTCAGCTTGAAAGATTCTGCCCAGGGGCTCGCCGCCAAGCTGACACAGGAACCGGTATCTTTCCTGCCCACTTTTCAAGCATCTGCGCCAATATCTGTAAAAGTCAGCTGACGTTTCGGGCAGTCCGTCCCATCCCTGGATGGAGAGACAGTCAGCAACAGGTGCAGAATACAGACATCACCAGCTGGGGCGTTGGGAGAATTCCCCTCTGGACAGGTCGTTTTGTAAGTGGTACCTGAATGGCTGTGCAATCACTGAATTTTGTTCGTTAAGTCGAAATGGCTTTGCCACTCAAGTGTACGGTTTTCTGGTAAGCATGAGCGAAGGCAGATTTTTAAAATTTGTGCAGTAGGTGAATGAGAAACATGGGCTGTGGGGGGGGCAATGGATGCTCAGGGTTATCGTGCGTGCTGGTTGTGTCTGGAGTACCTGCGCTGGTAATTTGTACTGTTTTGTATTTGAGAGTGGCAGTGCAGGGAGATTTGTGTTGAATTGTATCAAAGGGAATGCTGGGAGATGTCATGTTTCAAGAGGGATAAGGGATCTTTCGGAAAAGGCTTAATTTTCTGCAAGATCAGCGTCTAGACTAGCGCTTTTCTCCGGCAAAGCTCCGTGCTAAAAAAAGCACCAGCCATTTTTATGCTAATGAAGTGGGGGAGATTTAAATCCCCGCTTCATTAGCAATTGCGATACATCTAACTTACATCCCTTTACGAAAAAGGGATGAAGTCTAGACGTAGCCAGTGAGTAAGGGTACTGATTGGCTGAGTTAGCTCTGATATCACAATAGTCTAGAACTCTTGGCATGGCATAGACAGATTGTGCCTTGCTGTCACATGGGTGTAATGCCTAACAGCGGAATGGCTGAGGGCAGTCGCAGACCAGGAACACCAGTGATGACTGAACAAGCTGATATTCTAAACAAAAAGGGCTACGTCGACACTGGCCCCTTTTCCAAAAGGGGCATGCTAATTTCACAGGTCGTAATAGGGAAATCCATGGGGGATTTAAATATCCGCCGCGGCATTTAAATAAAAATGTCCGCCGCTTTTTTCCGGCTTTTAGAAAAGCCGGAAAAGAACGTCTACACTGGCCCCGATCCTCCGGAAAAAAGCCCTTTTCCGGAGGATCTCTTATTCCTACTTCGAATAAGAGATCCTCCGGAAAAGGGCTTTTTTCCGGAGGATCGGGGCCAGTGTAGACGTTCTTTTCCGGCTTTTCTAAAAGCCGGAAAAAAGCGGCGGACATTTTTATTTAAATGCCGCGGCGGATATTTAAATCCCCCATGGATTTCCCTATTACGACCTGTGAAATTAGCATGCCCCTTTTGGAAAAGGGGCCAGTGTCGACGTAGCCCTTTTTGTTTAGAATATCAGCTTGTTCAGCCATGCCTGCAGCTGTTTCCATCATTTCACACGGACTCAGAAAACATTCTGTGCTTCAGCGTGACACCTGGAATCTTTGTCAGAGACAAGATAAGGGACTAGAAACTAGATGGACTGTGGCGATCTACTCCGGTGATTCTGGAGATTTCTTTTACATTGTGTTATTCCAGAGTAGCTATTGTGCTTTAAAAGTCACTTTCTACTTTAATCCAAATTAACTTTAATATGTAGACAAGCCCTCAGCTCAGTTCACTTTGGAAGCAGATGAAACGAAAGTGGACCAAAGCACTCTTATTCTGAAACGTGTGCCCACACATGGAATTATTCGGAAATAGCTGCTGCATTTTAAATTCATACCCCACCTTAATTTGTATTAACTTCCATGTGCAGACAAACCCTTGTTTCCTCCTCACCTGGGCTAGCTCCATCTCTCCATCCTGCTTGCACTTAGCTTGGGTAGCATAGGAATTCCACAGCAGGTTTTTCTTTTTTCCCATTTTGTCCTTTTTCTCTAGAGGTTTCAGGTGTGATGCTAGCACAATATCCCTGCAGGAAATAAAAAGGAAGCAGTAAACCCAGCAAGAGCAAATGCTCTCTTGAAATTAGTACCATTTCCAGTTTGAGTCCTATCTGAGAGACTGACACAGTCACTGAATTTGTGGTGCAAAGTCTTACCATGTAAACAATCTGGATTAATCAAGATCACAAAATCTGTTGTGGCCAGACCCAAGGTTGTCAGTTCCCATTGGCTAACGTACAAGCAATCTGATTCCACTTCTCAAGTCTGACCTCTCATTCCAGAGCAAAAAGGAGCGAAGGGCACTGGGACTGAGAGTCTGGATCTCTATCCCTGATAGTTCCTAATGAGGGAGAGAAAGTGTGTGTGTGTGTGCGTGGGAGGGGGTGTCAGAGACCTGCAGACATTTCTCCAAGGAGTAGTTAAGCCTTTGGAACTGAAGCTATTACTCATCCTCAAAGATCTTTGCATCCTCACTGGGCCGTATCTAAGATCTGGTCTCCACTACCGAGTTAGGTTCACGCAAGGCAGCTTACTATGGAAGTGTCTATGGAAATGTCTATATTTATTTCCCTGCTGCTGACGTAACTGCCTAGCTCTGCTACCTTGATAACTGCAACTTTACACGCGGCAGAGTCAAGGTCAATGTAGTAGGTCGATGCATTATCAGTGTAGGCTAAGGATTTAAATATTGAGTAACTTACTAGTTGAGCAGTCCATGGAATTTCCCACTGGGGCGCTTGTACATTTCAAAGGAGGAATGCGGAACTCCCGGGGATACCAGCTTTGAAATGTACAAGGGACCCCAGTGGGGGCTCTTGTGTATTTCAAAGTGGAAGCAGCCTCAAGGAGCGCCCTCATGTGCTGCTGCTTTGAAATGCCATGTGGAGCCCAGGGTCATTTGGGGACTCCCCAGCTGATCCCGGGCTCCGCGTGGCATTTCCGCAGAACCCGGGATGAGACTCCCCAGCTGACCCAGGGCTCCACGCAAATGCCATGGTGGTGTTTCAAAGGGGCAGTGCTGCATGGAGCCCATGGTCAGCTCCGTCCGGCGTGGCTGCTTTGAAGTATCCCCTCTTCGCACCCCTTTGCTGCCTCTATCTGATCGAGGCAGCGGGGTGGGGGGTGGAATTGACTCGACTAGTCCTTAACATCCTTAGTGTAGGTGCTGCATTGCTTATGTCGAAGTTACTGGCTATGAAGCACCGTCCCACAAAGCCCCGCACAGACAGTACTATGACACCAGCACCCCTGGGAAGGATGCACACTGCCCACACAAGAAACAAAGTGTTGACATGCACAAGCAATGTAATTACTGTAGCAGCTGGATGCTGACATAAGACATGTCCACTTAATTTTGTAGTGCCCACATGACCTTAGAGAAAGCAGCAAACTTGAGCCCCACATGTGTGAATGGGGCATTGTCTGCACTCCAGTTTAGCCAACAAAACTTCCCCAGCCCTAAAGGATATGAAGCAAGAGCTCACCCTATTCAACTTCCTATGCACTCCATGGGCAGCAGCAGCCAGCAAAGCAAACTGGATGTTAGCATAGTGATAGACATCTAGCCGTGTTAGTCTGGATGAATCCATGGAACGCCCACGTCTTGAATACTGTGTATAGATGTGGTCACCCCATCTCAGAAAAGAATTGGAATTGGAAAAGGTTCAGAAAGTGGGAAAAAACCACCTACACTTGAACCTCTTTTTCTGATAATCCTGGGAAACACAGCATGCCAGATTGTGCTGGGCCAGGAAGGGTGCTGGGGGTCTGGGTGGAGAGGGACGGGAGCAAGGCACTGACCTGGCGCCCCGCTCTTGGGGGCGCACACTCCATGCCGCTCCCATGCGCCGCCCCTGCCGCTATGGGAGTGGCAGGGGAAAGGGCAGGGAAAAGCCATAGGCTGTTCTGGCCCCTGGGCGAAGGAGCAGTAGTGCACAGAGCTGCCTGCTCCTCTATACCACGGGTGTCCCCAGATTAAGGATAGCTAGAGTCCAGAGGTTCAAGTGTTTTAGAAACATATAACAGCTTCCATGTGAAGAGAGATGAATAGGACTGGGACTTTTCATCTTGGAAAAGAGACAACTAAGGGGGATATGATAGAGAGCAATAAAATCATGGCTGGTGTGGAGAAAGTAAATACAAAACTGCTATTTACTCCTCATAACAGAAGAGCTAGGGGGTCACCAAATGAAATTAATAGGTAGCAGGTGTAAAACAAACAAAAAGAAGGTTTTCGTCACCAATGCAATTAACCTGTGGAACTCCTCGCCGGAGGATGTCACGAAGGCCAGGCTCATAACAGGATTTTAAAAATGGCTAGATAAGTTCATGGTAGATAGGTCCATCAATGGCTATGTGCCTCTCTCTGCTAGAAGCTGGGAAAGGGCAGCAGGGGATGGCTCACTTAATGATTACTTATTTTGTTCACTCCCACTGGAGCTCCTGGCATTGGCCTCTGTCAGAAGGCAGAACACTGGGCTGGATGGACCTTTGGTCTGACCCAGTACAGCCGTTCTTATTATGGAAGACCTGCCAAAGATCAGCCAGCCCTCTGATTACTACCCCAGGCTGCTCATCCATGTGAGCACTAATGCAAGATCTGAACCTGGGCAGATCAGACGAGGGCTCTAAGAGTGAGGGGGAAGGAGCTGGGGGCACAGGTGAGGTTCTCATCATTTCTTCTGATCCAGGCTACGGGCCCAGGTAGAGACGGACATCCTGGAAGCTGCTGTGAGGGCTGTGGAGCAGACAGACTCCACCTGGCAAGGGGAAGTATGCCTTTGGCTACCAACTAGCTAACCTAGTGAGATGGGCTTTCAGTTAGGTTCAATGGGGGCAGGAGACAAAAGTCCACAGGTAAGTCCGATCCAGAGACCTGGGGGAAGTGTCAGAATCTTAGGGGAACAAGGGCAATCAGAGGAGAAATCACCGAGAAGCGACATGTCTGTATACTAATGCAAGATGTATGGGAATAAACAGGAAGATCTAGAAATAGTAATGAACAGTCACATTTACGACATAACTGAGCCTTGAAGGGATAATTCACATGACTGCAGTATGGGCATAGAAGGGTACAGCTTGTTCAGGAAAGGCAGGCAGGGAAAAAAAGAGGAGGTGGTGTTACTTTGTAACCTCACTGCAGGTACGTACAATACAAGAGGAAGGCAGGCCTGTTGGATAACGAGTAAAGGGATAAAAAACAAGAGTGAGGTCATGGTAGGGGTCTACCACAGATCACCTCTCCAGGAAGAAAAGGAAGATGAGGCTTTTTTAAAACTACTAACAAAATAATCCAAAAAACACAGGAGTTAGTGGTGACAAGGGACATCTGTTGGGAAAATACTACAGCAGGGCAAAGACTATCCAGCTAGCTCTTGGAATGCACTGGAGGCAAGTTTGGATTGCAGGAGGAGGAGAAAGCAGTGGGAGAGGCAGCTCCAGATTTGATTCTGACAAACAGGGAGGCGCTGGGCGAGAATGTGACGGTGGACGACAGCTCGGACAAAGGCCATCTTGGAATAATAAGAGTTTGTGATTCTAATGAGAGGAAGGAATCATGCAGACAATAAGACACGGATCTGGTGTGAAGCAAGTCTAAAGGGACAGAAAGAGTTTGGGAGAGATGGCGGTTTTAAAGGCGTTACAGGTCGAACCTCCGATGTCCGGCACCCTCGGGACCTGAGTGGTCCTGAACCACAGAATTTGCCGGACAAGGGGAGGTCAAGGTTCCCTACCTGGGTGTGGGGTTCTGCTCCCGGCTGAGGCTGCGCTCTGTACCGCCTCCCAAACTGCATCCAGCCCCCTCCCAAACTGCACCAGCCCCCGACAGTGAGCCCCTTGCTGCCTCCAGCTCCACCCGGGACTGTGCCCCCCCACAGTGCTGGCTCAGGTGGCTGGCCCCATTGACTCCTGCCTTGACTGGGTCTGCCCGCCCTGCCACCAGCACCAGCCAGGACTGCGATCCTGGCTGCCAGCCTGCTGCCTCCAGCCCCGACCAGGGCTGCACCCCCCGCACTTCGGCACTCCCCACCTTGCCAGCACCAGCTGGAACTGTGCTCCGGGCTGTCAACCCTGGCCAGGGCTGTGTTCCCCACTGCGCCACCCTGCTAGGGCTGCACTCCCCACCGCTAGCTCATCCCAGGCAGTGCTTCTGAACCTGGCCAGCCGGGCTCTCCTGTCCAGCAACATCCATGGTCCTGCTGGATAACAGATGTTGCCGGACCAGAGAGTCCCAGATTGTAGAGGTTCAACCTGTAGTAAAGGCACAAGACAAACTATCCCAATGCATAAAAAAGACAGGGAGTATGGTAAGACACCACCCTTAGCCAGAGACCTCTTAATAACTAGAAACGCCAGAAAGAATCTCAGAAAAAAGTGGAAACCAAGTCAATTTATGAAGAAAAATGTAGGGACAAAATTAGAAAGTCTGAGGCACAAAACCAGATTAAACAGGCTAGGGACATAAAGAGTATCAAGAAAAAGCACATTAGAAAAAGAGAAAAACCAAGGACGGGGTATGGTCAATACTCAATGAAGAGAAAATAACAGAAAAGGCAGCAACAAGCAACGTTTCCACCAAAAAGGTTAGCAGTGATCATGCAACTGACAGTGAACATCACTGTAAATGAGGTAGGATCGGAGGCCAAAATAGGGAAAAAACAAGTTAAAAATTAGGATGGTGTTAAGTCAGCAGGGCCTGGTGAAATACACCCTAGAATACTCCAGGAGCTAACTGAGGAGATACCTGAGTCATTAGCAATTATCTTTGAAAATTCATGGAAGACAGGAGAGATCCCAGAGGACTGGAAAAGGGCAAATATAGATCCTAGCTATAAAAAGGGGAATAAGAAGAGCCCAGGGAATTACAGACAAGTCACCTTAACTTCCGTACCCAGAAAGTTAATGGAGAAAAAATAATCAAGCAATCTGTAAGCACATCTGTACAGGGATTTTGGGGCACATCTGTCTGTCTGTCTGCGAACCCGTTTGTCCAAGAACTCCTCCTAGTGGTAAGAGCCACAGTCAG